GCGAGGGTGGCTAAGGATGGGCCGAAGGGGCAAGGATGCAAGGGTGCCCTTTGGAACGCTGCCCCTCCTTACCATGCGGGTCGGTTGACTGAGCCCCGCCCAGGGGATGTGGGCACGCGTGCGGTCGGGCACGCTGCGCGGCGCGCCGCGCAGGCGGCCCTGGCGGCCCTGCAAGCTGGTAGAGCGGGTCGCTCTGCTCCGCGGGGTGGGCGGACGGGGCAATCTCGGGTCGCTGACGCTTGGAACTGGGGGGAGCGATCGGCGCGTCGCGCCGACGCGCTGGGGGGCCAGAGCCGCTGTCCAAAAGTTCCCGATCGTAACTAAGAGCGAAGGCGTGCCAGCATGCCTCACGAGCGGGTGGAATCTCGCGGAACGAACATCCCAATCTTGCCAAGACTCGGGGCAGGGAGGCCGAGCGAACCGCTGGGCCGCCGTGCCAGCCAACAAGACCACCGGGGAGGGCCGGAGGGGAGCTGGGGGGAGCACGAGAACCAGCGCCTGCGATGGGGCCTCGAACCTTGCCGGGGCGACGCCCACGGGTTCTGCGAGGGCTCCTCCTGGCATGCGACATGTGCCCCCCTCGCCGCCGTTTCCCATCCTCCTCCCCCCCCCCTCGGGGGACGCACTGACCCGGGTCAATGCAGGCCCGGGTCAGTGGCTTCGCGGGATGCTGCAGGATTCTGCACGCACGCCCGGGCCCATGCCCCCCTGGCTTGCGTGCAGGCTCCTGCAGGGCCCGGCGCTGTGGCTGGCCATCGCTTGCGTGGACCCCCCGTCCATCTCAGGGCCTCGGAGGTCCCCTGGCTCCTCCACGTGCCGGGCCCGGGGCCGCGGTCGTGTTCCGTCCCTCCTGCTGTGGGCTCCGGGGCAGGAGCCCTCCGGGGCTCGAGGATCGGAGGCATGTCGCCCCAGCACGCTGTCGATCCAGCGAGCTCGGCCGCCGAGCGCCGGAAGGCCGCGCGGGGCGCAGGGCCGCCGCGCGGGGACTCTTTAGGGAGCGGCGACCCCTTGGTGGAGGCGGCGCAGTCGGGGAAGCACGGAAGGAAGGGCGGCCGTCGTCTCGTTAGAGCGTCGCCCTGGGGCGCGTCGAGGCCCCCTCGCACACGAGTCCTCTCTCACGCGTCTGGATTCTCGCGCTCCTCGTCCTTCTTCGCCCCTGGCCGCATGGGCGCGTGGACAGGTCGAGAGATGGAGCGCTAACCCTCTGGCTCGTTTCTTCCCGAAAGTACGGCGACTGGTGAGAGCGTTTGGGATAGGAATGCAAGGAGGAGTCTAGCATTCAGTCGGGCCTGTCCTCCTACAGGCGGATTTTTGGCGAAAAATCAAAAATACCCCAAGCTACCCAAAGAAATGACAATGCTTCGACGATGTTTGAACTTTCCTCCTGCAGAGGGACACGCCCGACTTCAGGGTCTAGCAGAGGGTGGCGGCCCCTGGGGACCCCCGGACGAAAAGCACCCCGGCCGATCCCCAAGAGGCCCCCAAGACGGCCCCGAGAGGCCCCAAACAGTGCTCCAGGGCCGGCGGAATGAGCGAAGCGATCGAAGCGATGAGATAATGACAACGTTTCGACTATGTTTGAATTTTCCTCCTGCAGAGGGACACGCCCGACTTATAGGGCGACGCAATCTATACATATCCACTGCTCCCTGGCCAGGCCCATCCTGAACACAGCAGCTGTGTATACGCCACGCCCTCCTGGTTTGGCCAGGAGGGCGTATACACAGCTCCTGGGTTCAGGATGGGCCTGGCCAGGGAGCAGTGGATATGTATAGACTTCGTCCCCCGAACTTGAGAGCCCAGCAGAGGGTGGCACGCGTCGTGTCCCCTTGGGGCTCCCCGCCGTTGCCCGCGGGCGGCGTCGGGCGGGCGCGTCGAAAGGGTCCCCCATCCCCCGCGCTGCAGCGGGGTCGCGCGGGGCACTAAGCGTCGGGCACGAAGAGTTCTTGTCCTCCTCCTCCTCCATTTCCTCGTCCTCCTCCTCCTCCTCCCCCTCCTCTCCCCCTCCCCTCCTCCCCCCTCCTCCTCCTCCTCCTCCTCCTCCTCCTCTCCTCCTCCTCCTCCTCCTCCTCCTCCTCTCTCCCCCCCCTCCTCTCCTCCTCCTCCTCCTCCTCCTCTCCTCCTCCTCCTCCTCCTCCTCCTCCTCCTCCTACCCCTACTCCTTCTCCTCCTCCTCCTCCTCCCTCTCCTCCTCCTCCTCCTCCTCATCCTCCTCCTCCTTCCTCCTCCTCCTCCTCCTCCTCCTCCTCCTCCTCCTCCTCCTCCTCCTCCTCCTCCTCCTCCTCCTCCTCCTCCTCCTCCTCCTCCTCCTCCTCCTCCTCCTCCTCCTCCTCCTCCTCCTCCTCCGCCTCCTCCTCCTCCTCCTCCTCCTCCTCCTCCTCCTCTCCTCCTCCTCTCCGTCCTCCTCCTCCTCCTCCTCCTCCTCCTCCTCTCCTCCTCCTCCTGCCTCCCTCTCCTCCTCCTCCTCCTCCTCCTCCTCCTCTCCTCCTCCTCCTCCTCCTCCTCCTCTCCTCCTCCTCCTCCTCCTCCTCCTCCTCCTCCTCCTCCTCCTCCTCCTCCTCCTCCTCCTCCTCCTCCCTCCTCCTCCTCCTCCTCCATCCTCCTCCTCCTCCTCCTCCTCCTCCTCCTCCTCCTCCCCTCCTCCTCCTCTCCTCCTCCTCCTCCCTCCTCTCTCCTCCTCCTCCTCCTCCTCCCCCTCCTCCTTACTTACCCCCAATCACAGACGACACCTGGATCTCCCATTGACCGCGAACCTAGTAGGATCTCGAGGAACTCTGGACGTGGCAACGAAGAACTTCAAATATCCGAGTCTTCGCTCCACCCTCCTCTGCACCGTGCTCCTCACCTCATCCTCCGTCCACCGTCCTCCTCGTCCCCACTACCCTTCTTTCTCGTCCTCCTCTTTCTCCACCTTCCCCCCCTGGTGCTCTCCTCGTTCCTGCTGCTGCGCAGACGCCAGCGCGCGCTTCGCCATCCTCCGACGCCACCGAGCGCTCGCCGGGGGCGCGGTTGACGCCCCGGGGGGCCAGCTTCCCGCCGCCGCCCGAGGAAAAAGACGGAGGAGGGGAGCCTGACAAGTTGGTGTTCGTCATCCTCCTCCTCGCTCTCCTCCTCCTCCTCCTCCTCCTCCTCCTCCTCCTCCTCCTCCTCCTCCTCCCCACTCCTTCCTCCCACTCCTCCTCCTCCTCCTCCTCCTCCTCCTCCTCCCTCCTCCTCCTCCTCCTCCTCCCTCCCCTCCTCCCCTCCTCCTCCTCCTCCTCCCTCCTCCTCCTCCTCCTCCTCCTCCTCCTCCTCCTCCTCCTCCTCCTCCTCCTCCTCCTCCTCCCCCTCCTCTCTCCTCCTCCTCCTCCTCCTCCTCCTCCTCCTCCTCCTCCTCCTCCTCCTCCTCCTCTATTCATTTTCTGTGCAAAAAACTTCTCCCTGTCACACCCCAAGGCAAGTTTTCAGGGCGGGCCGGGCGTTCCGCCAAGGAAGTCCTCAACATGTACGGCCCTCGACTTACACATTGATAACAGCGTCACGGATGGAGGGCGGGTCGTTTTCAACATGTGGCTCTCGCCCTGGCGCCGCGCACATTCCGTGTCAAACTTTGCACGAGGTTCACGGATCGAGGGCGGGTGGTGTTCAAAATGTGGCTCTCGCGCCAACGCCGCGTACATTCCTTCGACAAACTTGCAAGCGCTTCACGGGTATAGGGCCGGCGGTTTCCAAAATGTGGCTCTCGCCATAGCGCCGCGCACATTCGTCTTCAAAATGCACAAGAGGTTTACGGACTGAGGGCGGGTGGTATTCAAAATGTGGCTCTCGCACTAACGCCGCGTACATTCCTTCGACAAATTTGCAAGCGCTTCACGGGTATAGGGCCGGCGGTTTCCAGAACGTGGCTCTCGCCATAGCGCCGCGCACATTCGCCTTCAAAATTTACAAGAGGTTCACGGACTGAGGACGGGTCGTTTTCAAAATGTGGCTCTCGCCGTAGCGCCGCGCACATTGCTTTGACAAACTTGCACGGTTTTTGCGGATTGAGGGCGGTTCCTTTTCAAAAGGTGGCTCTCGCTTTGGCGCCGCGCACATCCTTTAAAACACATACAAGAGTTTCACGGTCTCCCATGACAATGATCGGCGTACCAAAATTGCGTCTTGGAAGGATTCACGATTATGAGGGCGCAACAGTTACGATGATAAGCGGTGTTGAAGTCCCAAGAACGGCGTTCTGGCACGATACAGGATCGTCAGGGTGCAGCAGTCAGGTTTATCCGTGGCGCTGGAATCCCAAAAACAATGTTTTGGCATAGTTCAGGGTCTTCAAACGGTTGTCTTCCAATGGGGCAAGCCCCTCTGTGGAAATGAACCGTTGTAAAGGCCTATGAAGAGGGAGCTTGGGGGAGGGCTTATTCCAACATCGTTGGTGACCCTTGGGTTTGCACTGGTCCTCCTTCTCCTCCTCCTCCCCCGCCTCCTCTTCCTCCTCTTCCGCCTCCGCCCCCTCCTCCTCTCCGTGCTCTATTTTCCTCCTCCTTCTCCTGCTCTTCGTGCTCTTCGTCGTCCTCCTCTCCGGCTCCATCCAGAAAAATAAACAAGACATGCGGTGCGTACGAGGGCCTCCACAATTGGGCATGACCTGGCCCAGCGCCCGCGCCACCACGGGGTTGGTCGACCTCCCGCTGGCGGTTCCGAAGAGGAGGTAGCGAAGAGGATACAGTCGAGTCTAGGCCAGAAGAGCATCCCTCAAGATCACGAGACCCTCCGTCAGCCAAAACAAACAGAACATCGCTTCGTGGCGCTCCAGCTCTGGCATGGTGGTTGCGTCCGCATGCCGCCGCCACCCCACATTGGCACACACATCACACGCTGCGTGGCCCCGTAGGTAGCTCCACCTAAGGCCCCATTGGTAGTGCCCACATACCGCCGCCACACTAGATTGGCGCACCCCTCACACGTTTCGTGGCCCCATAGGGGCTCCACCTAAGGCCCCAATGGTTGCGTCCGCATGCCGCCGCCACCCCACTTTGGCACAACCCTCGCACGCTTCGTGGCCCCATGGGGAGCCCCACCTACGGCCCCAGAGGTTGCGCCCGCAAGCCGCCACCACCCCAGTTTGGCGCAACCCTCACACGCTTCGTGGCCCCAGTGGAAGCCCCACCTAAAGCCCCATTGGCAGGAATCGCATGCGCGACCGTGCCTATCTTGGCGCACCCCTCGCACGTTTCGTTGCCCCATAGGGAGCTCCCCCTAAGGCCCCAGTGGCTGCATTCGCATGCCTTTTCCACACCATTTCGGCACACCCATCACACGCTTCGTGGCCCCATAGGGAGCTTCGCCTAAGGCCCCAATGGCTGCGTTCGCATGCCTGTTCCAAACCATTTCGTCCCACCCCTCGCACGCATCGTGGCCCCGTAGGGAGCTCCACCTAAGGCCCCACTGGCAAGAATCGCATGCGTGACCATCCCCATGTCGGCACACCTCTCGCACGCTTCGTGGCCCCATAAGATCTCCACCAAAGGCCCCGCCACCTGCTGCTCCCCAAACCGCGCCCTGCTGCTCCCAAGAACTGGGCGGACAGACGCTCAGATCAGCCGTGCTGGGCTACATCCAAATGTAAACTGTGGCGGCTGATCCCTGCGATTCGATCAGCATCGTCGGCCAGTCCTCCGCACGCACTCCTTAATCCTTTTGCCAGCATTCTCCCTCAGTTTCTACCTGTCTTGCAGTCCTCGCAGCTGCATATGGTTGGGTGGTTCGTCAGGCCAAGCCTGCGTCGCCCACTTGAGGATTGGCCATGGATACCACCGCCGCCGTTATCAGATAAATAATCCGTCAGGGTCCGAAGTCTTCTGGGGGGCACATTCTTTAACGAACACCCCTGTATTCCTCCTCTGAGCGTTTGCCCTGCGGCCACGTGAGCGGAGGACTGGCACGTCCCAAATGTGTACGGACAAATTGGTAGCATTCCAAACAGCAAAGTTTGCCCCAAACCGACAGCGGCCGCTGCTGAGCAAACGTCTCTGTGTATCGATTGGCCACCGGCCGTGGCGACGCCGACAGCTATCCCTGCTCAAAATGAGCCAGATCTGCTGTCAGCTTAGCTGTCCCGATACGCGACAGTCAACACGCAGCGCGTGGATATGGAGCTCAACACGTAGACTGGAAACATAGGTCTGACGCGAGGCGTTCGCCAAAACGTGGGCCGATTCGTCGAACCAACACGCAGCGTGTCGACACGGGCGTTTTATGCACGGTACGTATTGCGTCTGAAAAGGGGCGTATCGCGGCAGCTAAGGCTGTCATTCTCCGTCCGAATTCTTTCCGTACCCACCTCGCTCTTGCAGAGAGGAGTGCGGGCGGCCCCTCCTCCCCTCCTCCTTCTCCTCCTCCTCCTCCTCCTCCTCATCCTCCTCCTCCTCCTCCTCCTCCCCCTCGTCCTCCTGCTCATCATCCTCCTCTTCCTCCTCCTCGTCCTCGTCCTCGTCCTCCTCCTCCTCCTTTTTCTTCTTCTTCTTCTTCTCCTCCTCCTCCTCCTCCTC